AAAAATTGGTAATTGCATGGTAGCGATCACTTATCTTCTAAGGTCCATACAAATTCCCACACGCAGCCAATCTCACTCACAAGTCCAAGCAGTGCTCGGGAAAAATGTCAAGCCTTCCCCAGTCACACCCTCTCCTTCTCTATAATGGCTTCAAATGGCGGCAAAAAACTCCGCAATTTCACAAACCTTTTTCTTCCCAACGCCGCCATTCAACAATCCCTCATCTTAATCCCTCCCCATAGCCCACAAGATTATGCCCTAAAGTGTCGCCAGTCGCTTCTTACGACAAGTGCGTGAAATACTCTCGCCCCGAGTCACATTATTGGGCCAACTTCCAGTTTGTTGCGGGTCGGTCCTCAGAAGATGCAAGCTGAGAGGTTAATTTCAGTGAATTCCACGGTATCTGAGAGTAATTTAACCACAATGAGCATTCGAAGCACAGTAAGAAAGTGATTTTTGTTGTTGCTCGTGACACGTGTGCTCTTTTTTACTGTATGAACGAATTTGATGGGCGCATACCATGAACGTTTCTGTCTTTAGGTTCTTAAGCTGTTGCATTTGGTGGTTTCTTTGGGAATTGTTCTGGCCATGGATAAGTTCCTGAATAAGGTGTTCGTGGCTGTTGCCATCAAATTCCCAAGTTCTCTGTTCGGGATGTTTTGCATCTTCACCGTTTTGGTGGTTCTTGATTCCACTGTCCCAGCTGCCGCCACTGGCTTGATGAACTTCTTCCAGCCGGCCCTTCTTTTTATTCAGAGGTGGCTGCCTTTGTTCTACGTGCCATATCTGGTGGTTCTGCCTCTGTCTGTCAAAGACATTCCGGCTGCCTCGGGTCTTAAGATCTTTTTCATTATAGGTGTATATGTCATCGTTGATGATTTCTCTTATGTAAACGGAGTTTTTGTATGCAAACACCTTGAAGTGATTAATGCTTTCACCTCAGCTGGAAAATAAGTTAGTTATTTTTATTGATTTTATATGCCTACTCGTACTTATGATTCTGTGTGATTTAGTCAAGACAATCATAAAGTAGACGTAGAGATGCTTTAGGTTCTTGTCGGTTTCATATCTGGCTTTCACCCATGGATAAAAAATTTCTCTTGTTTCACTAGTTCAAGCTTTTTATCTTGTATTTGCAAACACTATTAACTTTCGTTTCTGGACCTTTTTTGCGTGTTTAATAATTTACTTATGTCTTTGGTTGTAGTTTTTTCAAATACTCCCCAAGTGTAGTGTCTGTTTTAGAATCTGGATACTGAAATCAAGAATAATATTATGTTGTGGTGGAATTTGATCTGTCATGAAGATAAATACTGGTTTTATTGCTTCCTAACTCTTTTGCAGTTGGAGGCTGGCTGGCTTCACTATGTGTAGCAGGTTTCACAGCCATAGCAGTGAGAAAGATTGTAAACACTGAAATGATACCAGCCGAACCCATGCCAAAGCCTTCTTCGTTTTCTTCAGTCGAGTTGTGGTCATGGGGTGGTATATTCGTAATATCTTTTGTCTCTGCGTTGCTTTACCCGACTGCTCTTGGAACCAATGCCAGGACATGTTTGCCCTTTCTCCTTGCTTCTACAGTAATAGGCTACATGTTTGGTTCCTGGTAAAAACAAGAATATCTACTCAGTCCATCACCTCTATCCATTTAGTTTTCCATACAATCTCTCATCCTCATATTTTGCTTCTTGTTATAATGTTATGTAATCTTGGTTTCAGGCTACCATCAGGTGTGAAGATGGTTTTTCATCCCATTATTTTCTGCGCACTATCAGCTGATCTGGCGGCGTTGGCTTATGGGAAACTTTCGCATTTCGGACTTGATCCAGTTCTAGGTATATCAAGAGAGAACCGTTTATGTTTTAAAATGATAAATCGCGGAGGTTTGTGTTTACCTTGCGAATGTGTGTATCATCAAGAGAGGTCAGAAGGAATTATTCATTAGGTAAATAGAACCGTCATTTTTTGTTCTTTTTGTGATTTCAGCAGTGGGTCCTTTAGTATAAACTTCAGACTAATGCCGCCCATAATGGAATCTGGAATATTATATAATCTACTGGCTTGATCTTAATTTTTTTCTTAACAGTCACGAAAAATGCAGTTCAGGGAGCCCGACCATCCAGTGTACCAGAGTGGTCATTTTGAATAGCAGAAAAATATCCGTGTTTTACAAATGATTCTGTCTATTGATGCCACTACTTTTGCATAAGTCTTAACATTCAACAATTTACACTGTTAGTTGTTCACTAGTATTTACTCTGACCTTTACAATTTCATGTACTTGAGGGCAAACTTGAACATAACAATTTGCAGGATATTATCTCACAAAGTCCTCGTCGAATCCTGGAGCTGGTGACATTTTGGTAGATTTTCTTGGATCGGTTGTACTTTCGTTTGCCTTCTCAATGTTTCAACAGAGAAAGGTATGCAAGTGGTATCCAAGTCCTCTTTGGTTGTGCCATTTATTTAATTTATGGAGTTAACAGTTTTCAAAATAAGTTGAAAGTGATAGCACCGCCGTCCAGGTAAGTAGCTTTTTCGTAAACCCAATAATAATAGGAAACAATAAACTAATTTCGATTATCAGATATTGTACTTAATCACTTTTTACATGATTTTTAATTGTGAATCTACAGCTGGTGAAGAGACATGCTGCCGAGATATTCACTGCTGTGATCCTGTCCACATTTTTCTCTTTGTACTCGACTGCTCTAGCCGGCCGTCTTGTTGGTCTCGAACCATCATTGACTGTATCAATTCTACCCAGATGCGTAACTGTGGCTCTTGCTCTCAGCATAGTGTCTTTCTTTGAAGGTTGATAATTCATTCAATATATAGCTTTTCACATCCTATGTGATAAGATAAAACTGAGGTGGACATATATAGCACCAGTGAAATCATCTAGAGTGATGGTTTGCAGTAATGTCTTCTCTCTCTCTCTCTTTTTTTTTTTTTTTTTTTTTTTTNTTTTTCCCCTTTTAGGTGCCAATTCATCTCTTACAGCAGCTGCTGTTGTGGTTACTGGACTGGTTGGGGCCAATTTTGTTCAGATGACCCTAGACAAATTAGGGTTTCGTGATCCTATTGCTCGTGGAATAGCAACTGCATCAAGGTATGAAAATCCAAAATATTGCAAAACCATTGCAAAATATGTAGAAAAATCAACGTCAGCGCAATAAAAATGCTCTAAATACAAAATTATCCCGTCTTTTCTAAAAGAGTTAATTTCAAATAAAATCACTTTGTCTTTTTTATGCTTTTGCAATCAAAACCAAATTTTAGGGGAATAGAGTATGCTTTTCTTGAGGTGTGCTCTTTAAATTTTCTTTTCTAAAAGGGTTCATTTCAATGACGCCAGCTTTTGCTCCGACTGCAACGTGAACTCGTTTGGAAGATATTTTCTAGTAGGTTATTTCCATCATGTCCGGCAACTTAAGGCGTCGTAGCTATTATTGTTGACTAAGATGCCATGCCATTAGGGTAATTGCAAATAAAATACCTTTATGATTTTTGGGAAAAAATAATAATAGTCAAACTTTAAAGAAATAACAAACAAAGGCATCAAGGTTTGCTCCGATTACAAATTGAACCCAAGAGTGTTTTTAGGAGGTTCTTGTGTTGCAACTTAGGGCATATTAGCAGATGAATATGTTTGCAGGTCATGTTTACAATACTTTGAGGCTTATTGGCAGATAAATGTTTTTTTTTTTTTTTTTTTTTNAAATATTTGGGTTAGTTTTGTACTTTATTTGATAAAATAAACTTCCAGCTATTAGAATTTAATATTTATGCATGTTTTTTCTTCTTCCATAACAAACAAGCAGAAGTACCTATAACATTCTTCTTCTACTTTTCCTTTGTTTTTTCTTTCATCTGGTTTGTAGGACAAGTAACACATAAAATTCCCATCTAAAAGCTCGAGATTTACAGTAGTCCGTCCTTCCAATGTTTGTCTTTAAGATTTCTCTATCTTTTTTTCTCAGTGCACATGGGTTTGGAACAGCTGCTTTATCAGCAAAGGAACCTGAGGCTCTTCCCTTTTGTGCAATTGCATATGCACTGACTGGGATTTTTGCTTCTGTCATCTGCTCTGTTCCACCTGTTAGGCAAAGCTTGCTAGCTGTAATAGGCTAACAATCACCTATTTGCAGACAAAGCGAAGGTTAAAAACGGCTAATGTTGATTTTTCTCTGCATTGATCACAAGCCGATGTTCCTTCAGAAATTCTGGTCCATATTCGTTACAATTATCTTTTTGTATCTTAGTCGTTTAACTGCTGCTTATATGTATAGTCTTTTGCAATTATATCTCATGGCCCTGTAAAATATGAATGGCCTGAGGCAGATCATGACTTGTTAGTATTTGGCAGCATATCCAGTTGTAATTGTGGTTCATTCAATTTGGTGCTATTTTAGTTTAAGTTATTTGTGTTCAGTTCACCACATCAAAGCACTTTAAGGTTGAACTCCTTGGGGATTAACTTTTCTGTATTCTTTTTGTTTGTTTTCTTTTTTAAAAAAGAAAAAGTAATAAGAACTAATACTTGCATGAATTATCTTTTCTCCGGTTAAGGAATACACGTATTGTGACACATGGTTCACGTCCGAAAACACTTACATCATAGCAATAGTGAAAAATGCACCGCCAAGTCGTCATGTGTCCAGAAAGAGATTTTAGGATTGGAAAGTAAATATTAACAGATTTACTAGTTTTCATATAAGAATTGTATATGTTTCGTTCCACAAGATTGAATCTGTGGCAAATTGATTTCAGGAGTTACAAAATTAGTTATTTTTGAATTTTTGTTGCAGAATTGGTCCTAGGCTCCTACTCCCGTCAAAATTAACGGGATATTCACGTGTAAGCCACATGTACGTTAGGTCGTTAATTTAAAAAATGGAAAAATGGCTAATTTAGTCTTACAGGATTGACCGTGCTCCAAATGTGGTTCCAATAATTGCAACAGTGGTCATTTATTTATTTATTTATTTATTTATTTTTTGCAACTTTGGATCCAGTTTAATCAAATGAGACTAGATTTGCAACTTAGGACCAATTTTTATATTGAGTCTTTTATTTATATCTTAGTATTTTTTTTCACATAATATCATTTCAACAATATTATTCCACAATTTTATATTGTATTAATATTTACAATTAAATTACTATATATGTTTTTCTATTTCAAATTATTCTTTTTAATTAAATGCAAAAAATATTGATTAACATAAATATCTAATTTTATTACAACTGTAGATGTTAATACAATAATATTGTTTAAAAATTTAGAAAATTTAAAACGACAAGTTCTTGATAACCAATATGTTCTAGCGAAGTAATCGATCAAAAGGTTTCCGTAACAATGGTACCCTATATTATTTTATTTATTTATTTACGAAGTTTTTAATTTTGTATTTTCACCTATAAACTATACACAAACTTGTCGTTTTGTTTTTTCGTCTGCCAAAACCGAATTTGTCACCTTTGTCAATACACGTAATGGTTGTATAGCTTGGTGAAAGAAAAGTTTGAGATTTTACTTTTTGTTTTTTGCGTATCCAATGGTACACGAGCTTCATGACTTCTTTTTTTTCTTTTTTTTTTGAAATCCCAAAACTAATTTTTTCCTATCAAGATGACAAGATTTGTTAAATATTTACGTGAGGACCAAAATTACAAAAATTAAATAAATAATTAATTAAATATTACTATTTTGCAACCCTTGGGACCAAAATTGCTAAAGAGGACTAAATTTACAATTTTCTCATGAGGACTAAATTTACAATTTCCTCATTTTTCAATTTAACGACCTAACGTTTGCATGCCTTGCACGTGAGTGTCCCTGAGTTGTACTGATTTTGCAACTCATAGAACCAATTTTGCAACAGGCTAAATCAAATCCATCCTGTTCTTCTTTAGTGTTCTCATTTTTCCTCCTGAGTCCCTGGGTTGTACTGATTTTGCAACTCATAGAACTAATTTTGCAACAGGCTAAATCCATCCTGTGGGAACAAATATGCGATTCCCTCAATTTTCGTCCAAGCCACAATTAATTGTCCCAATGAGAATTATGAATTGAAAAGGTTAATAGACTACTGCACTTGTAGTTTCTATGGGTGGTAAGGTCTGTATTAGATATAATCCAATACAGATTACATCTTAAAAAGAGGAGAAAAAAGGGAGGTTGCAGTGGCTAATTCAACAGGTCAAAATTGAATAACAAATTGATAATAGTAAATAGTTAAGTGACATTATAGTTGTGTACTCAAATCTGAATTTCTATATACAGATCAAAGTCCAACTTTACTCATTTATGCAAACAATGTGAACTAAAGGAGCTGCAAAGGGACCGAGCAGATCTGTAAGATACTATTGAAGAGGAAAAGGCGGATCATCTATGCAATCAATATAAAACACTCCAACACGAAATGCAGCTTTTACAACCAATCCAAAAATGCCATAGTAGAATCTGAAAACAACCGTTTCAGAAAGTAGAAAGACGAATAGATGGAATTAAAAAATTATATACCTAAGCACCGCAATCAAATCACTTGTTTCCCCTGAAATATGCATATACTTTCTGCAAGACAAATGCGTAAACGAAAGTGTTACGATGAAAAACAAGTAATACTGATGTTCAATTCAAAGCCACAGAAACTAGAGAATAATAGATTTTTGTTCCTAACCTGAAGTACCCATAAGCTCAACAGTGTCTCTAAGCAAAATAACGCGAATCCAACCAGGTAAAAGATCTGAAGAAAAAATAGAGGATTCACAAGAAAGTTCCATAATGAATGACCCATCTTCAACTCAAGTAAGAGCACAGGAAGCACGGGGAAAACAGAAAGTAGAACGGAAAAGATAAAATGAAAACCACCAGCAAGTAACCCTACTAATATACAGAAGTTTGAATCCATTGCTATTTATTTTAATGAAGCTAAAAAAATTGTCCTTCACTAAAATGGTGGAACAAAATGCAATTGATGATCCAAATCATGTACCAAATAATAGAATTTGTACAACAGACAAAGCATCACGAAAGGATACAGGAAAGGACAGTTAATATGAAAAGAAGCTCACCCCAACCAAAACATTGTCAGAGAAAACATCAATAGCTGCAAGAATACCCCTGATGCAAGAAAAAATAAATGAAGAGTTAAGAAAAATAAATGAGATGTTGGCAAAGGGCTACTTTTCAGGCGAGCAGTCCCAAATCGAATCCCATAGTGCGCGTGTGTTGGTAATTTTTCCTTCTTTTTTGCAAGAACATACATTGTTTCTTCTTGTTAGTTGAGCTATGTAAAACTAATAAATAGATACATAAATAAAGAGATTTTGTCCACGTTTGTTGTCATGCAGTGTTATCAATTTCCCCCATTACAGTAGGGCATCGCGGATTTCTGCCAATCCACCATTATAAATACAAAATGATGGCATCTTGGGCGACACCACAGGCTGCCATGGCAGGGTTTCAGCCGGCCGCCATTTTTCACCACCCAGCATTTACATAACGCTGTTGGCTTGGTTAAATTTCCCTTACTGCTTTGAAGTGAACTAGCTCTCACATAATAACTTTTCAGTTCAATAAAAATAAAACAATTTCCCAAACTAATAGTGACAAAAATTATCATAACTCTTTTGCAGAACGCATTCTAAGGCTAAAACAACATAGTGAAGGTATTCTTCAGGGAAATTTTTATTTTTATTTTTATTTTTCTTTTCTGGTCCGTCTTCTTTACCAGAGGGAGATAATGAAGAAGAAACTTCCTTACGTTAATGATCTCCCATGGAAGACGATTGGAGGGGCAATTGCAGCAAGAATGCAAAAACCAATGTGTAGCTGCACAAAATTGAACCCAAGGTATCAAAATAAAGAAGATATTGCATACAGCTGTTAGCCTGTTATATGTCAAGGGTACATACCAAATAGAACAAGAAAAACCAGCCAAACTTCAGTGCACTGTCAGTCCTGTGTATCATAATCACATAACACAGGCGTTATTTCAAACACATTAAGAGTTTAAACAATATAGATGATGATAATGACAATGCTGTGTCGAGTACCTCATTGCACGATACAAAGGCCTGTACCACAGTACATATGAAAGGGGACAACCCATCAGGGCATATATAATGGCAAGCAAGAAAATCCTGACTCCTACAGGCAGAAAACATCATTTAATGCCGATGGATCAAGAGCACTAGAAAAAGAAAATTAGCAAAGTAAGTAAACAAGACAACTTACCACCACCCCTTATCCAGCAAACAGTGATTGCAATGACATTGAAAACAAGGCAAAGGACAATACCTGAAACAAAGCCCATCGAAGGGAACATTATAATAAATTTCCATCCACATAATTTCAAATGAAACAAGGGATCAACCTTAAAGCTTAAAGTAGAACTATATCACGAGACAACTTCAGCTAATTACAAAACTATCATACACACCAAGAAGTATTTCACTCTCCACAAGGCACAACTATGTTATAAGAATATTGGAATTAAAAATCCCCCACGATTTCCACTTGGAAGACCAGGGTACCGATAGATTCAATTCGGAATTTAAGTGACATTTTAAGACTTTTTCGAGATTTGAGACTTTCTAGGATTTTCAGATTTTGGAAGAATTCTATGAAATCTCAAGTCGGGAGGTAAGATTTGAAGTGGGATTTCATATAAGGTTTTTTGTTTAGAAATCCCACTAAATCTTAAAAAGTCTTAATAAATCCTAGTGTCAAAAAAATTAAATACCTCAGGATTTTGTAAGACTTTTGAAAATCCCAATTGAATACCCTAGGATTTTTAAAAGTTTTAAAAAGTCTTAACAAATCTAAATTGAATACACCAGGATTTCTAAAGTCTTAAAAAGTCCTTAAAAATCCTAATTAAATACACCCCCCTAAAAAAAATTCATGAATGACACGAAGAATTCTCTCCTTTGCCCAATTTCCCTAATTTCAAATTAAGCCGAACAGTCAAAATAGTCAATGCCTACAACTATTGACAATAATTACTAGCAGGGATGTACTTGTGTTTTCAACATTTAGTTGTTGCCTTCTTAAAGTCTCATATGGCTGGGCATAAACAATATATCCGAAAGTGTAATATACAAAATTGTCCGAGTATTTAGCATGAATAAGGTCACAAAGAATTGTCTCATTTCCAAGACTTTTGTCCGTGTGGGTTCAGGTGCTACATTGTGAAAATGAACATGTATTCCTTTATAATGCAACTTTGTAGTTTGTACAATGACGGAAATAACCATAAAGTACGCCTCCGACACAAATGTGCACTATCAGAAACTTGACATGATAAAGCTGACGATCAGGTTGTATTCTCATATTCATGTACTGAGCCTGTATGAATCTACTTGCATTTAAACAGGATTGTTCAAGACAAGTAAAGAGCTCGCTGGAAATAAAAATATATTACCCACCTAACCAGCTTGCAAATGCCAGATACTGCAACTTCTGAGCATGAACTGGTATTTCATTAGCTATATCATGATGAATAATGGGGAAAAGTGGCGGCCAGTTTTTATCATCCACAGGAACACCAGCTGAACAAAAAGGTCTCAATATAAATTACAAACATAAAGACAGAAAATATCTGAAAATGGTTGCTAGTGGTCTGCTAGCTTACCGCTGGATACAGCATCTTCTCTTCGTTTGATCTCCTACAAAAGCCAAAAAAAAAATAAAAAAAAATTAAAGTGTATACATGCATCTCAATTGCAAGATAAAATATACAAGCATGGAAATTCTACTCAATGATCATCTCCAAAGTTGATAGTTATAAAAAGAGTAACCACACATTAGCACAATAATACAAAAATGGTTTTAAAACTTCAATACTTGGCCAGATGTAAGAAACTCAAACTCAAATACACACACAGACAAACACACACACACACACATATATATATATACATATATATTTTCTTTTATTAGCAAGACAGGTCACATATTAGTAATTTCCTGCATCAAGAATTAGTTTGTAATATCGTAAACTTAAGAATGTACTGACCCTTTCTCTCCTGTTTAAGTCAGCTTCCCAGTTTGCAAGTTCCTTCTCCTTTTTCTTGGAATCCTGCAGTCGTACAATAAAATTAAGATAAAATCCATGATTATATTGCAGAATGCAACCGGTGATTAATTTACGACTGCATTACATTCATAGCATCTAGTGGTATATCCACAGTGGCATCATGTTTCTGACCGAAACCTAGTGTACTTGCAACCACCTTAGGTACGCGAGACTTTGATCCTGCACCACTCTGCAACAACCCCAACAAATGGAGTGATAAGAAGATGATACATAATAAATATGAAACAGGTAAAATGTTATTCACCAAAATACAGGTGGACAGTATACGGCCACACATTTGGGATTCAAACAAATATAGAAAGCATGTCACATCCCAGTCACAAAATCCCTTCTGCCATCTATAAGATAAGATAAGGGAGATATGAATCAAAGTGGATGATAGAATGAGATGTAACATTCTTGCAAATTTTCAAATCCTGCCATTAATCATAGTTGTTGAGAAGGTCGTATCACGTTTATCAATCTTAATGATGAAGTCAGTGGCTATCAACCGATAAAACGTTAATTTTCCATTTTTATAACATAATTGATAGTCGTGCTGCTTCTACTTCAGCCTCTATGGATCAGTATGTAAATTAAGTTTCATACCACTGGTGAATTTGCGCAAAATTGAAAAGTTCAACAGATAAATAGCTGATGAGATCTTCGATTCAGAAATGGTTAATGATGTTTCGTCTCCTATTCACCTCATGGATGATTACCACAGGAGCAAAATAGTCATTTCGCTCTTCTAGCATAAATTGTGGATTTGTTTTTTTAGCTTTCACATGGCATGATAGCACTATTTTTTTGGAAAGACGATCCCACTCGATCTGATTCTGATAGTTTAACTTCTCTAAACTCTCACACCATGTGTAAGTTACTATATTTATATTTGAGTAGTTCCTAACAACATATCTATACTTTTGACATCACTAACCAAGATTCTAAAGCAATTCTCTCTACTCACTACACAAGATTCTCAATTTTCACATACGCTGCAAATCCCACACCACACCTCTGTTTTTTCTTATGGAAAGCAACATCTGTGTCAAGCTGCCACTGTCCTTCAGTAAGCATACACACTATTAAATTTTAAAACAAATTAATTATTAATTGGTAATGCAAAACACAGCTCAGTTCTCCAACAACCAAATCAAATAGAGCCCCGCCCCCAAATTAACCTACGATTCACCTCCCAAATCTCACATTAAACCAAACAAATGCAGCCGCAGGATTCGGATCTAAAGCAATAAAAACTTTCACAAGGCAACACTAAGAAACCATCGACAAACTACACCACAAAAACTAGACTCCTAAAAATAGACAGATCTGAAACATATGTACGCGGTTACCGAAAATGGATTGACTTCGGGCTCTTCCTCGTCGAAAGGATTGGGATCTGCTCCTCGATTCATGGTCGACTAGTTCTCGCGAAGCTAAAAATCCCTCGAAATGAAGAAATGAATAGAGTTTATACTTTATAGTTTTTATACGCGTATATAAAACTAGAAAGAGAGAACAGAGGAAAGTGGAACTGTGAGCCTTTTAACTCTTTTTTCTGCTTTATATTTATATTTATATTTATAAACTAAATTATAATATGTTTAATTTTTGACATTAAGTTACTAAAAAAGTTTGAATTTCTTTTTTTTATAAACTTTTTTTTTCTTTTTAGCATTGTATATTTTTTAGAAATAATATTTCTTTAAAAGCACAAGGAAAAATTATAATTATAATTATTATTGCAAGATGATAATCATAAAATATTTTTTATTTCATAAAATTAAATATACTTAATAAAATTTCTTTGGATAAATCAGGTGATTGAATTAAGTTACTACTAGGAAAAAAAACATAACACAAATTGGAGTTGGGTAACCAAGTTATGTGTCAGTTTGGCCAAGACTAAATCGATTATTACAATTGAATATAATTTTAATATTAAAAAATTATTACATAAAGTCCAAAATTTCAATAATTATATTAAGAATGCTATTATGATAACATGCACAATAATTATAAATATGACCAAATCGATTATTAAAACTAAAAATAAATTTTAATATAAAAAATATACACAAATGTTATGTTGTCCAAACTCTAACTAATTATATTAAGAATGTTTTTATGACAATGGTCAATGAGTTATGAATATTTATATATCATTTTATTAATATTTATGGAACAAAATGATATTATATCACAACTTTTATTAATGTATGGTAAATCAATGTTCTCAACCGGACCATCATCGACCAGTAAATTTATTGATTCAATGATTTATTGGTTGGACCATAATTTAATTTATTAATATTTTAATATATATATATATAAAGTAATTTTTAAATAAATTTATATAAAAAATATTAATTAAATATCTGAACAATTTAAAATTTTCAAATATTTAGACTAGTTGATAAACAATTGATAAATCTCCATTTTATTTAGATATATATTTTTAGTTATATTATAAAGTAATGGTAAATATAATAAAATTTATTTAAAAAATCATACTGATTCTACCAGTTAGACCGACTGGTGTTGACCGGCTTGCCAGTAAGCGATTTGGACTGGCCGATAAACCGATTTTCGATTCTCCGGTTGGTAGACATGTCCATAGGCTGAATCGGGTCGTGGTTTTACACGGGCCGATTCAGGTTTATGATTTTTCACAAATTGAATTGCTGATTCCGATTCTAAACCGGAATAGGCGATTCTGCTATTTTTTTTTTTTAATTTAATGATTCGACTTGAAACAAACGAGCTGGTTCTGAACAGCAATCGCCAGTTCATTAAATCAAGGCCTCACAAATGGAGAAATTTTGATAATTGACACCCAATCCGCGCGCCTCATTGAATTTGACACCAAATTCGTAAGCCTTTGCAAATTTGACACCCGACACACGAATTCGTTGCATCTGAGGGACTCCCCCCTATTTTTTTTATTTTTTCTTTTCAACTTATTATTGTTGCCTATTATTCTAGGAGATGAGACAGTTTTGCCCCTGTGAATAGTATGTATTCATTTAAGTAGTAGTAGGNAACTGAATCTCGCTCGCTGAACCCATCGACTGCAGCCGTCATTTAAAAATATCCAGAAATGCTTCACATACATCATAATAGGTTCAAATAACAAAATATCCAAAAATGCTTCAAAATAATGAAAGGTTCACATAACAAAAGCATGGATACCAGGATCCATCAATATCCAAATTTAGTTGGTTGTCTTTCTTGGAGTGAGCTTCTTCTTGACAGCTCTATTTTTCTTGACTGGACTAGTGGTGGGGGTGTTCACCTCCTGACTTGTCACCTCTTCACCTTCATTGATCAATGCAAGTTTGCTTCTTGTATTCATTGCAGGGCTTGTGTTCAGTGCATCATCATTCACTACAACTTTCTGTCTTTTAGGTGTACTTGGGCCTCCTTCTTCTTTTCCTGAACCAGGATTCCTTCCTGGCTTCGCACGGCTCTTCCTGTATAAATTTTTGTAGTTCAAGTTAGGCCATAGCAACAATAATATACATCAAACATGACAGCTAAGTTGAAGTTACCTCTTTTTTGTTCCATTCATAGGGTATTTTGGTGAGTTACTCCTATGGCCAAGTCCTAAGCATTTTTTACATGTAACCTGCCACTTGCCTTGGGACCTATTTTTGTTGCCCTTCAACTCTATGCAGCTAGGTATCCTATTCTTCCTCTGTCTCCCAACTTTTCTCTTTTGTAGAGGTGGCCTCAACTTGAAACCCATGTCGACATGTACCCACTGCGACTTGTCAGTTACTGGTTTAATAACACCAGAATATGCAAGTCTGAAATTCCTGACTGAGAAGTAAGGATGCAAGTACTCTTCCATCTTAGGATTCCTGCTTGACACTATGAGTGCCAAAGCATGGGGACATGGTTTCCCTGAGACCTGCCACTCCCTGCAACTGCAAGTATGATTCCTAATATCCACCACATGTCTCAAGACCTTATGGTTCTTAGTAACTTCAGTCACCTGTGCTTCCTCCCTGTTACCTTCCTGGAGTTTCAAGTGTCCCAATTGCCTACTCTGTGCGTACAGTTGGCGGATAACAATAGGGAGCATCACATGACCATCGAATTTCTCACCAATCCGCCTCCTTTTTGCATACAATTCCATGAATTTGGACCTCAATGTGTCTGCAAGCTCGGCAATAGGAAGGTCCTTAATCTCTTTCACCCAATTGTTCCAAACTTCCGCAACATTGTTTGTGATATGGTCAACTTTGATCTCAGTTGAGAATTTGCTCCTACTCCATATTAAGTGATGATGTTTGTCCAGGTAAGGCTTTACCTTCTTATTTGCTGCATAAATCTTGTTCATGCAGTAATCATGATATTGAGGTTGGAAAGTTCTAGCTGCTGGCCAAATTCTGTCATACACAGGGCCACGAAATTGCTTGACAAAATTTCTTATCAAGTGAAAAAAACACTCTCTGTGCTCTGCCCAAGGGTACACTGCTTTCACAGCATTCTCTAAGCCCTTACAAGCATCTGTACTGATAGCTAGGTGTTGTGGATTCCCAATGGCCTTCTGCAGCTGCTGCATAAACCATGTCCAATTTTCAGTGGTCTCACTGTCAAAAAATCCAAAAGCAACCGGGAACATCCAGTTGTGCCCATCCATGGCTGTAGCTGACGGGAGATGGCCATTCCACATTCCATTAAGGGCAGTGGAATCTATGCTCAAGAATGGTCTACATCCATTTAGGAAACCGTCAATGCTAGGTTTGAAGCAACAAAAGAATCTACGAAAATAGACATCATCTCTTTGTCTTATGACATCTATTTGTACAACACTTCCAGGCATTCTTAACTCCACCTCTGCCTTGAAGTTGAACAAATATGCAAAACTTTCCTCCCATGTACCATACAATTTCTCAACTGCCTTCTGTCTACCATGCCAAACTGTCCAATATCCAATTGTCACTTGATACTTGTCCTGCAACTCCTTTTGCAATTTCTTTGCACCCATATTTGAATCCTTCATTAGATAATGGATTGCCTTCTCAGCCACCCAATGATATGAAGCCATTTTTGTTCTCACTCTTCCGATGGATGCACAAAAATGTTCACCTTTATTCACAGTAACCTGCCATATGGAAAAAATTTGAGTTAGTAATACATAGATGCATGTAGGACTGAAGAAACAATGGAGTATCATTTGTTAGCATTAAGTTTTACCCTGACTTGCTTTTTATCAGCCATCAACCTTGCAACAATGGCCCATGGACAGCCATCAGCTTTGCAATATCCCCTATATCTACTCTTACATGATTTCTCTGTCCCAAGCTCAAATTGTCCCTTTATAGCATGCTTATGGACAGCCTTCCTGAATTCTACCATACTACTATAAATGGAACCAACTTCCATTGGAGGGTTGTCCGGATCATAACCAATACCTTCCTCCTCAGGGATCAAATCATCAACTGGCAATGCTGCATCTTCTAGGTCTACATCAGTAACAACTTCAAGTTGGTTTTCTGCTGCTACCTTTTCTTGTTGTGCCCTCTCATCCTCACCTCTAAGACCAAGAAATTCATACATAGCATCTTCATCCATCAAATTAACTGCAGCACCTATATGCTCTTCTGCAATTGAAACTATCTCAAGACTGTCCCAATCAATCACATGAGGCTCAGTACTACCATCTGTGACTGCTTCATTGCTCATGACTGCCTCTGAAACACATGACTTAGAAACATGGAATAAAGGTTTGTCCTCCACATCCACATACAAAATAATCTTATGATCTGTCTTCCTCTCAGACAAAGCACAGGCCAAATCATTATCATCCACCAAATCCCTTTCTCCACCAGTGTCTATGTCAAATTCAGAAATTCTAAGATGCTGGCAGCTGCCCCACTTCACCCTTTCAGCTAGTTCCTTCTCCACCGAATCCAAATTACAATAGCGATAGTCAACAGTCCACTCAACGTATTTCCGTGGCACATCAACACAGCTACCATCATCTAGCTTTGCTAAGAAATGAGAAATCTGAACACACACTCTAACTGCTGCATCCAGATCGATCCTAACGAGTACCGACAAAAAACACAAATATACTTATCAGTTAGTTGTATCATAATCGTCCTAATCGGTCGCACATGCATCTTCCCAACTCAAACACAACTTAGAGGACAAGGATTGCAGCCTTACCCAGGAGGGATCTCGAAAGAATCCATGGTGCTCGGTCAAGCTCCTCCAGAACGGAGTGGCGGAGGCGGGTAGTGGAGATGGTGGTCGGCGGCTGCGTGGGTAGATGGAGGCGGGCTAGGGTTCTTTCAGTCGGCTGCAGTCGATGGGTTCCCGGTGAAAGAAAAGTTCGATATTTCACTTTTGTTTTTTGAGTACCCAATGGTACACGCGAGCGAGCGAGCGAGATTCAGTTTTAGTTTTACTAAAATACCCCTCCCTACTACTACTTAATTGAATACATACTATTCACAGGGGCAAAACTGTCTCATCTCCTAGAATAATAGGCAACAATAATAAGTTGAAAAAAAAAAATAAAAAAAATAGGGGGGAGTCCCTCAGATGCAACAAATTCGTGTGCCGGGTGTCAAATTTGCAAAGGCTTACGAATTTGGTGTCAAATTCAATGAGGCGCGCGAATTGGGTGTCAATTATCAAAATTTCTCTCACAAATGTGGCCCGAACCAACCCGAAATCGGAATTTGGCCGCGACTACAGTCGGACTGTACGGTTCATTCTGATCCAGTTCAGTTTTGAAAACAATAGATAAAACATGATTGACGTTATTTATATATTTAATTTATAATGCAGTCGTAATATTGTTTCCTCGTGAGCGACACTCGCCGGCCTTTCGACAGTTCAAGCTTGGGCCGGCATGATGGTTTTCCCCTTTTTCTGTCTATTCTCTGGATTGGGGACAGATAGGTTCCTCTGGCAGGGGCTTGTTTTTCTTTGGTAGAAATGGGTCGGCTTCGTCAGTGTCGTGCTGGGGGAGGCGATGGTGCTCGGTCTCCTGGTGCTGCTGTCTGGTGGTGTTGCCAGTAAAAGGGGTTTTGGTTCCCTAGATTCGGTTCTAGTTAGCCTTAGCCTATTATCAAGAGTTGAGAGTTTCTAGTTCTATACTTGTGCCGGGGTTTTGTATTTCTTGGTGGTCGCCTCCAGGTGTTGGCTTTGTGTGTGGTTGTTGGAGTAGCTTGCAGGCAGTGAGGAGGGCTTTAGTCTATATATTGTTGTAACATAGTTTTTTATGTTTTAGGTGTGTGTTTTGCTTTCTGGTCTTGGATCTCCCTTGGGGAGTGTTTTTGTCTCCCATTTGGGGAGTCAATTAGTCTTTCAGTAGGGAATTGTAGTGTCTATTTTAGTATCTTATGTGTTTGACGCGGAGTAGATCCCTTTGTTTAAGTCTTCTTTCACATGTGTAACTGTATTTGGTGAAAAAATATCCCTTTGTTTAAGTCTTCTTTCACATGTGTAACTGTATTTGGTGAAAAAATACAAAGGTGCTTTGTAACGCCAGTGGACATTCGAATGTACTCTTTTGTCATTGAAGTGTAATAATATTTATATCGTTTGCCTAAAAAAAACAAAAACAAAAACAAAAAAAAAAATAATGATTAAGTTGAAAACATCATCAAATACTAAAATCTAAAAGCACAAGTCAGCTATACTTGAAATACTAAAACTATATATATGTATATTTTTTTCTTGTTTTCCGATTCGATACCCGTGCTCCAACTATCTAGCACCAGATATTTGCCAAAAACAGAAATGAGTATATATGAACGAAGGCCAAACAACAACATCCATTCAAAGTTTTCACCTCTATATTGAGGAAATCCCTAACCGCCAAAAAAAAGGAAAAAAGGTTGTTGGTTGATAAGCCAAAATGCTTTGTACTCTAAAAAAATTGCATTGGGCTGAGGAGCAGGTCATAGTTTTACCAAAAAAATCGTTACAAAACCTTGGATGTGTGAAACTAACGGGGATGGATGAAAGTTTTTTCATGTGTCGGATATCAAAAATCTACAAAAACCAAACACCAATTACACTTCTAACATACTCAATACAAGGAAACGTAATGCCATAAAAAAATCAGGCTCTCACGATATGCTGTCTCCAAGAAACGTAAAAACTCGCTTTTTGAACACCCGAGCCAAGTCCGTGATTTCGGATTCCCTTACATGTTTTTTCGAGCTAATGTCCTTCCACAACAAATTGCTATTACGGGTCAAAATGTTGGCAATGTCCACTGTCGTGCTTGCAAGCTCCCTTGTGTCTGTCAATGCTTGCAAAACAGGTACTGAGTAATCAGGATGGGACACAAGTCTGTTCAAAAAGATTAGTGCCTCACGAATAAGCAAGCACCTGCAGGAAGACAAACGAGAGTGAATGCGCTAGCAGGGAGAAGAAAAGTGGAGTATCTTTTAAGGGCATAAGAATGAATAGCAACTCAACTCCATAAATCAATATGTTTTCTTGTCAATAAATTCCAGCATACGATTAAATCAGATTGTTGTTGCCAAGATAAACCTATTTCCTATCATAGATACTCAATCAAAGTTGCAACTAATCCGACATTCCACAGCTTTAATAATTACAAAAAATATATATTAAATCTCCGATCGCATGGTAAAAGTGGTAGGCCAAGAAGGATACAGGCCTATAATGGATTATCTCGAAAAGGAAAAAAAAAAAAAAAAAAAAAAGCTCNAAAAAAAAAAAAAAAAATCCATTTGCTTACTGTTCTTTAACAATGCCAGATTGTTTAGCAGAGTTTAATGCCTCAGGGTCCAGATCGGATGCTAAGCTTTGCAAAATGATTACAAGGAAGTTGGTGCCCTTTGGAAGCCTATGATTCAGCAAAATCTCAAGGCTCGATTTTCCTGCTGATCCTACGAAAGCCAGGAGAGAGATAGCATTTCTTCGAAGCTTCATCTCCTGAGAGGATAGCAAAATTTAATATTAGATTAGAAGAAGATTAGAGAATAGGCAAAACAAACACCAAACACGGTGTTTTGAATGTATTCAAATGGGGCATTGTGTGACAGAACTGAAAGAGTATTTTTGATTAAGTAATTTGACGGGAAGAAAAAGAAGAGTTTTCTTTTCTTTTATTTTTTTGTTTTCAAATGCCAACTATTTTCTTACAATTTTTGCACAATTCAACACAAACATATAACAGGAAGATGTGGGCCCCGAAATTTGAATTTTGGATTCTGATTGTTGTTTGACATTTACACAACAGGACGTACTTTTAAAACCTACTCAGCAAACACCTCTACTTTTATTTGTTTGACTTCAAACTTCTAGTTGCAAACAGCACCATCTTCTAATTCTAAACTACTTTTCGCTTCTACTATAATAAATAACCTCCTCAACCATTGGCAGTTCTTTCAAAATACAAAGTATGTAAGAAATAATATATATAAATATTTTGGAGCTAAAAGGAGTACAAGAAAACACTTGAGAAATGCAGATAGAAACCCGATTCACATCATACACCTTGAAACTGCAAGCGCCTGAAAAGCTGAAAAGGTAAGCTCACCTCGGCAGAAGCACTTCTATAACAAGCTAAACAATCGGCCAAGCCAATTAAGATCTCATTCAATCCATTAAAAGTTGAACCACTTCTGTTGGTAATATCATTGGAAGTTGCAAGTGCTCCATCTTCTTCATAATTGGAACAAAGCAAAGGTACGACTTTTGGAGCTACAGAAAACAAGCAAGGTAAACAATTACATCATAATAATGTTAATCTCAACTTAGCATCTCATATTAAGATACAGATGTATAAACAATATCACAAGCATACAAATTAAGTTCACATGTAACGAATGGATTATTTCAAGCATCGTACAAACATTTGAAAGTTTTGTCAGATAGCAAAATAGAGCAATGCACAAATATACTGATAGTGAGACAGTCAAAGTGTTTGACAAAGAAATTGAATTTGATTTTCAAAGACAATGACAAACTCACAATTACACAGCAGATAGAGAGTATGAACAGCTTGGTCTTGCACGGAAAATCCAGCTTCTTTCCTCAACAAGTTTGATAAACTACGAAAAACAAGCTCCCCAGCAAACCTGTCTCAAAGATGTCTTTATTTAGAATATTGCAAATAACGCAGGCCAACAGTTAAGAACTTACCCGTCTCTCTCCAAATACGCATTCTGTCTCATGAGGATCAGATTCATGATTGAAAGTGCTTCACGCCTTATTTGCTTTTCATTGTTTTCAGTGGCAACAGCACAGATAGTCTCAAAGAGGGAAACCCAAAAGGCTCCAGATATAGATGTCCCAAATCTATGATCAAAGAATCCAATGCAGCCCGGGATTTTAATATTGGATAATTCCAGTCCAGAGAGAACTCGACCCTGCTTTAACATCTCGGCTACATTTGCAGAACACAACCTTTCACTTTCAGGATCTTCACTTCCATTTGTATCAGATATTATGTGCGATTTTTCTTCAAAAATAATATTTTCCCTGCTTTAGATGCACACAGAATATCAGCGCATGAACCACAAATTTTATGATTTTTCTGTTGTTTAATGTATTCTAAAGGGAGAAAGTGTAGAGGTAAAACATAAATATTAATAAACGAGTCCATCTAAATGTCATACTGTCTCGCAAACAACAGCTTAAAAAATCTATAGGTGATCCGTAAATGCACATGATTTATATGAAGAGGTACAACGTTATATGCATCACATGTTAAAAGTTCTACTTTTGAATCAGAAAAGAGAATTATCTACTATAGCGAATAGATGTAGCTCAAGGGTCCCAGATGATAGTTACTCCCAACATTCTACAAAGATAAGCGTATGACAATTTCCACACAGTTTAAGAAAACACAATCATTGTTGTTGGGAATGTTAAAACTGGAGGTCCTTCCCAATGTGCCATTTAAAATAATTATTATTATTATATTAAGTAGCTCTATTTTATGAGAGGTCATGTAAACTCAATAAGGCGTTATGAAACTTACATTTTAAATATTGTATTTACACTAACATGACTATCTTTGGGGGCATACAGAAATAGTAATATGACCTATCTTCGTGGGATGGAGGGAAGAATCTCATTTTGACCTAAGTCATGGAAACATGGGAAAATTTATCACGTTTAACTTGTCACATCATAAACATCTTTGGGACAACATTAGTTTTATAATCATGTTACGAACATCAAAATCAAGATCAATAACCTCCACCATATTGAGAAGAGAATTTATGAATCAAATCAAATAGAAAGTAAATTCGATTGTTGGGCTAATCATAAAGAAGCCTGGTTTAACTAGTATGAAAAAATCAAACAATGAAAGGAGTGGTATAAATTAAAAACTAGGTCATCACACCTTTTACAATCTTCCTTTTCCAAGCTAAAAGAATTACTCAAAAGATGGTGCAGAATACGAATAGAGCCTCGAACAATAGCAACCTGAGTCAGATGTACACAGATTAGTCAAATGAAATGCAACATAAAAAACGAAGTAAACAACAGTAGTCACAAAAATAAAACTTTGAATTGCTAATATATGAAATTGCTTTTACTGGTTACCTGCATACGTTGAAGGCATTCCAATGAATATGTTAACTAGGTAATAATGACTTGCGTGTTTATAAGCTAATGTCCCGACATAGCTACTTAGTTGTAATTAGTAAAACAAGATTAAAATAACAATGATTTCAATATTCCACGTTTAGATATATTTTCAGACGAAAGATCCTAGCTTCACAAAAGGGACCCTTCTCTCAGATAGAGCATTATACCAAATGCAAGAATTTGGTGTGTTACAATCATATTTTGGAACAAGTTAATAAATGTGTCTGAGAAGAATTAATATCCAAAAGTTAGGTCAAACAAAGAGGGTGCCCCAGCCACGCTTATACATAAGAACAACTCATTAACTAATAGCTGTGCGACGAACATAAACTTCTAATACCTGCTCTCATAACGTGCGGATCCAAGCGGGTAGACTCATACCCAAAAACTTGCTCAAAGGGTGAGGGCGCCCAACCCACACTTAACACACTACCAGTAACTTAGTGTTTAGGACTAACATAACTTCTAACATACTAAGTGGTGTAGAATAATAATAATAACATACTAAGTGGTGTAGAATAATAATAATAATTATTATTATTATTATTGTTATTATTATTATTATTATTATTATTATTATTATTTAATAATTAGTAGTTAGCTTAGAGAATAAGTTAGGGTTATTAGTTTTGAGAGCCTTATATAAAGACTCTCCTGCTTTATTGTTACTTGGTGAATTTCGAGATTGAATCAGATATTGTGAGTTTTGTGTGTTTTACGAGAGAGTATCTCGTTTATCCTTCCCACTCGTACGCTTCCCTACATCACTAAGATAGCTACACTTCCGAACAACAAGCTCATACTGCAATATCTTATAAGTTAATTGTCAAGAAGGAAAATCAAAACTGAGAGCTCTTCCACTGCAAAGCAATGCAACATAAAGTGGACAAAAGATATACTCACAATTAATTTTCCAAAAGATATATGACGCACAACATGTAATTTAAAACAGACGGGAACTTTTAATTTATGAGGTTGCTGACATAACCGATTCAATCAATTTAATGAAGCTTCCAGCAACATAAACATCAATGCAAATATAATTTCAAAGTACAATAACTAAGAAGATCCTACAAATGAAATTCATTTGAAAATAATAAAATGAATAAAAAAAAAAAAAAAAAAATGAACGCATCACTTAGTTTGTGAACTCACATTCTTTAGATTACAAAGATCAGTCAATGCTCTTAACAGCTCCCCCAATCTTGATGTATCATTACTTATCTGCAACTGTAATAGAAAACTATCATATATTTAAGCAAGATTCAACAACTGAAGCATATCAATGATAAACGACACAAATCAAACCAATGCAGTTATATTATTCTCACAAGCAAAAACAAAACTGCAAACTAACGAACTCTTTATCACCATCACCAAAGATGGCATTGGCAGGTTTCCAGAATAATTTTAGGAGAGTTCTCCAATTTCAATGAGATAGTGGTTATAATCTCAAATCATCGTCGTTAATAGTTTGATACAACCCCCAAAATTAATAACCACAGTTTGGATCATAATGTAAGCTCATTTCTTATTCGAAGATACGCAATCGTGCAAAAAGCAGGATCTAAAGCATGTTTACCTTGGTCAAGACTGAATATAAGTGCGATACTTTTGCAGTTTCCGTGGTCTGGGTACCCCTACTGAAGTCTTTCTGTGGAGAGTTCAGGTATCCAAATAGCACATGAAAATCTGCTTCACAAGTCATAAAAAGCTTTGCAACTAGAGTTTTTCCCTGTTTCTGATCATCTGAGTTCCACAGGTTGAATAACTTTTCTGAGCTGCAAAAAGATTTTCAGGGTTGAAATGCTTTCTTAGTGGTTTTATTGCAATTTTTAAGAAAAATAAATGAGATAAATTACATGGGACAGATGATGCTTCCTCTTATTGGTCTTTGGCAATATGCTCACCTACGTATACTTGAAGAACTAAGCTTATCATTTGACGGCTTTGCATTTTGACACTCCATAGATATCCCAGGAGCTGTAGGACTGGAAAAAGCGCAAACCTTGTCACCATATAAAAATCATTTCGTATATATTTCTCAAACTATGACAGATCATTATTCAACATAAATACGGGACTTGTGGCAGTCATACACACTCTCCTACATCCATATCAAACATAATTCATCATGGATATTCTATGTAACTCAGTCATTTGACACTGCAATAAAGGAATTAAAGTTAGTACTAAAATCCATATCAAACATTGATTCCTCCTGGATGTTCCATCTAGCTTGTACCATATATCTGTGGTGTGCTATGTTTAAATATCCTCCTTCAAAAATATTTGTTGTGCCATTTCTTTACGTGGTCGAGTTTGAAAAAGAAAAAAGAAAATATGAGAAATCAGCTCATTTTAATTAAACTGGAAAGATAATACGAGGAATACAACTTCTCTTGGCCTACAGTTAAAACGATACCTGAAGTCTAGGTTATGTGGTTCAGATGAAACAACCATAAACAGTAAAGAGGTAGACACGGGATAATAATATGTCCAAATCTATCTAATAAACAATGAACCCTAGGGCTTAAAGATCGACATTAGATAAGCGTGACAAGAAAATTGGAATGCCTTACATCTCAGCATTCTTCGTGTTTTGAAATTCCGCATCTTTTGCCTCGACCTTTGATTGTAAAACTTTGAGCTCCTCCTCCTTTTTGTCCTTTTCTTTTCTAAGTTCCAAAATTTCGTGCTCCTGCAGTTAAACACTCATCAAGCTCGATCAGAAGAAAAGTGTGAGCTCATAAGTATCAGCCCTAAATGTCGACTACAGGATGTGGCAAAAGAGCATGCCTTGATCATTCGTGAATCAGTACAGAATAGAATCAGAATAAAATGGAAGCCAACATATCTATAATCCTATCTGAAATATTCAAAATGAAAAATAGAATCATTATTAATAAGGTGTGACTGATAATTTAACATAGCGAATAGAGTGCGATTATTTACCAGTTGATGAAGTTGCTTTGAGACGCCTTGAAGTTCTTTCTGCAAGAAAACAAACATCAACATCAGAAAACGACGTGCTTCTATATGTACAATTATATTCCCTACAAAAACAACTTGCATAAACAAAAGGGAGAAGGAAAGAAAACGGTTTCCATGACACACTGCCTACATAGAGAAGCGATTACAACTTCAAACAATTTTTACAATATACATCCCAATTCAATTTGCACACTTAAGTATAATCCAAACCTTTAGCCTATCATTTTCTTGCTCCTTAGCAAAGTGGTTAGCAATTGCACCAAAAGAACCAGTGGAATCAGGAACGTCTTCCGCTCGGGGGATTTCACGGGTTCGCTGCGAGAGCTCGCGAGGAGGAGAGTAACTGACGTCACATGGCGGTACTCGCGGAGCAGCCGGGTGCGGGAGAAATGTCGGTGACAGAAGCGACGGCGGCGGCGGAGGCAGCTGCGACGGCGCGTGGCGAGGACGCTGGGTGGACAAAGCAAGTTCCTCGGCTTGGACGAGCTGGTCCAGGAAGTCGGCATCCCATTCTTCCACCTCGAAGCTGTCCTCCACCATAGTTGTAAAGACCGCTCAAAACGGCTCGGGTGCGCGCGCCACTTCATGAAGCATTTCTAAGCACCCTACTGGGAATTAGGCGAAATGTTTTACTGTATTCATCGGGATCTGTTAATTGCAACACGACACTCCATTTTATTGCTTATTGCGTTTCGCCTCGTGAAATTTGAAAACAAATAGTGATCATTGGTAGTTGCATTTGGTAAAAAGAATATTTGGGTAGAATAAAACTTAGGGGTGAGCATGAAGTTCAGATATCACTAAAATTTGATTTCGAGGATCGTACCAACAAATTAGTTTGGTTTGGTTCGGATATTTTTATTTTTTGGTTTGGTTTGATTTTTGAGATTATCGGAACGGTTCGATTCGGTTTAGTTCGGTTCAGATATTCAGAGATTTCTTATTATTTTTTAAATTTACTGGCCACCTAATTATATTTTATTTTTTATATATTTTTTTAAATCCAACATTCATCAATACTTTATCCTAATAAAAATTTTATTTTTAAATCAATTTTAGAAGTAACCCAAAATTTTAGTTAAGACTAAATTCAACTAACATTGAAAATATAAAATTCAAATAAAATATAATATAGTATTTTATTAAATTAATATTTATTTAACCTTTCATACCATGTTAGTTATAAGATAGAATAAAGCTAAGTATCGACAAATTTAAGTAAAGTTTAAATACTTTAAAAAAAAATTTTAATCTTTCATTCTATTTTAAATATATTTTTTTTAAAAAGACAAAATTCAATTGTAGATCAAATATTACTAAACATGAATTTAAATGAATCTTAATTTTTATTACTATATTTTATTTGTATCTTAAAAATTCTCAAATTATATAGGATCAAAGTTGACGTAAAATATATTAATAACACACATCTATTTCTATAATTGGGTTTTTAATTTAGGTTCTTAGGTACGGTACGACATGAGACGGTTGGGTTCGGTTCTCATACTGATATTCGTGAAATCTCCAGAACCGTACCAATTATTTTTTTGGTTCGGATAAAGTCAAATGGTCAATGATTATTTTTTGGTTCTGTTTTCATAATAGTTCGAAATTCTCCTAAGAGCACCCACAATGCTTTGGGTCTCTTAACAAAAAATCACATGCCACATGAGAAATAGACTTAGTCTATAAAAAAATAATTCCCAATACAATTAAAAATGGACATGGTCTAGCTTATGTGGCAATGAAAAAAAGAGACTAAGTCCACACTTGGGTCTATTTTGGACCCAAGTACAAACCCAAACACTCATCATTTGTTCTTAATTTAATTTATTTTTTAATGAATAAAACATATTAAAACATTTCTATTGGTTGACATGTATGCTAGACCTAGTCTCTTTATTTTTGCATTGCAAAGTTTTTGAGTTTTTTTACTTGAGTTTGTCTATGACATTTAAAACTCAAGTCCAATTATATGCCACATATACAAAAAGAGACCCAAACATTATGGATGCTCTAATCTCATGCTTAGCCCTAATAAGAGTGATAAAATCCGACCATACGAGTCACAATGTGCAAGCTGGTATTGTGAAGCCCACCAGCCTTGCGCTAGCATTATCCTATCCACTACTTATCTGTATACACATGATCTGGAATTTTTTTCTGGTTCAAAATCCTTTTCTCAATCTCCTCTAATTTTTTTCGGGTCGGCATTCACCTTCACTTCACAACTCTACTGAGTATTGAAAAAACATTGTTCATTCGAAAAGTGTCCTTTTTTTCTCACAACTCAAACTTCTCCTTGAGCGGTATACAGATTATACTACACTCATTATCCTATTTTATTCTCCCCCATAAATTAATTTCTCAGTTTTGCTTGTTATACATAGATGCTGTTGATTTTGTACTGTTTATGATTCCTAGGTTCACAAGCTCCATCGTCAAATTATAGCATCTGATGAGGTAGATGAAGTTATGGTAGGGGCACCTGTCCAAAATCAGCCCCATAAATTCTTGATAGCACAGCAAAATCCCATCAACAGAGCCCAAGGAATTGATTTCAATCTCAAGGAACAAGAATGTGTATCCTTTATAAAAACGTGCAAGAATATGCTAGAATTCAAGAAAGTCCACGGCCAAATCCTAAAGCTGGGATTTTTCTGGAGCCCATTTGTTGCCAGCAATCTTGTAGCCACCTGTGCTCTCGCAGAATGGGGCAGCATGGATTACGCGAACTCGATTTTCCAAAAAATCTTGAACCCGAGCTCGTTCGAGTTTAATGCCATGATTAGAGGCTACACAAAGGATACGAACTCAAAAGAAGCAATTCTTACATATCTTGATATGCTTGAGGTTGGTGTCGAGCCCGATAATTTCACGTACCCTCCCCTGCTTAAAGCGTGTTCAGTTCTATCAACTGCTGAAGAAGGTAAACAGATTCACGGGCACATTTTTAAGTTTGGATTATTCGAGGATGTGTTTGTGCAGAATAGTTTGATCAGCATGTATGGAAAATGTGGTATTTTGGGAAATTCTTGTGAAATTTTCCATAAAATGGATTTCAAGACAATTGCTTCGTGGAGTGCACTTATTGCTGCTCACGCTAATTCGGGCATGTGGGCCGATTGCCTGAGTCTGTTTGCTAAAATGATCGGGCAAGGTTCTTGGAGGGCAGAGGAAAGCACTTTGGTCAACGTCATTTCTTCTTGTGCTCATTTAGGCACGCTCGATTTCGGCAAATGCACGCACGCGTATCTGCTTCGAAACTTGAGCGGACTAAATGTCGCGGTCGAGACATCCTTAACGGATATGTATTTAAGTTGCGGAAGTTTGGATAAAGGGATGTCCATTTTTAACGTAATGGGCCCAAGAAAGAATCGCAAGTCTTATAGCGTGATGATTTCTGGACTCGCGAGCCACGGCCAAGGGGAAGAAGCTCTGCTTATTTTCGAGCGAATGTTGGAAAACGGGCTGAAACCCGATCACGTTACTTATGTGGGGGTCCTGAGTGCTTGCAGTTATGCTGGTTTAGTCGAGACGGGTTTGAAGTATTTTGAACGGATGAGATCTGAGCACAAGATAGAGCCCACAATGCAGCATTATGGCTGCATGGTCGATTTAATGGGCCGGGCTGGTCTGGTTCATGAAGCTTTGGAGCTCATCAAGGCCATGCCCATGAAGCCCAACGACGTTATATGGCGTAGCCTTCTGAGTTCTTGCAAAGTTCATCGGAATTTGGAAGTAGCGAAGTTGTCGGCTGAAAAATTGTTCGAGCTGAACACACAAAACGCGGGTGATTATGTAATGATATCCAATATCTACGCACGAGATCAAAGATGGCAAGATGTGGCTTCGATTCGGGTTAAATTGGCTAATGAGGGCTTGAGCCAAGTGGTTGGATGGAGCTCGGTCGAGGTCAAGGGGAAAATTCACAAGTTCGTCTCGAACGACAAATCGCATAGCGACTTTCGGGAGATTTACGAGATGATTCACCAAATGGAGTGGCAATTGAGATTCGAAGGGTATTCACCGGACACGTCTCAAGTGTTGCTTGATGTTGACGAGGAAGAGAAGAGGGAGAGGCTGAGTTTACATAGTCAGAAGCTGGCGATTGCATTTTCTCTAATTCGGGTTTCTGAGGGGAGTTGTGTGAGGATAGTGAGGAACGTTAGGATGTGTAGTGATTGTCACACGTATACGAAATTGATTTCAGTTATTTATGGGAGAGAGATTGTCGTGAGGGATCGGAATGTTTTCCATTGTTTTAGAGATGGGGCTTGCTCTTGTAAAGACTTCTGGTGAATGTAGATATCATGATGTTGGGTGTTTTAACTAGGTTTTGTTTTGGTCTTTTATCATGTTAGGTTAGGCTCTTTTGCTGTTTGTTGATTTTTTGCAGGTGCAAGGTGCTCATAGATGTGAAAGTTCATCAGCGTTTTGAGGAGAAAGAGAGACAATACCATTTGACAATCAATGGAAATTAACAATTTTCAAAGTGTACTACCGTTCTTTATTAGAACTGTCATTCTGCTATAGATTAAGTAGTTAAAAACCTACGGTCCGTTGTGTGTAAAAAGATCGAATTGTGGAAATAAAAGTCTCAACTGGAAGCACTTGAGACAAAATCTGTAAGAATATTTTGGTATTCAAAATGATGAAATGCAGTTATGTGGATTACACATAGTAAGATATATGTCAAAAGCCAGTCACTTCCAAATTTTGATTAAATGAACTTTGTACAAAAGCTATTGCGTTACTTCATTTTTCTCTACCAAAAAATGGACCACTCACGACCATAAACAATTCTAACTTTGCAGTAAAATAAACACAATTCAACCACAAAGAAAACTCGTTCAACAGGATTATTGAATACAATTCCCAAGTTAAAAATCCAAGTCAGACAACAAAGACATGTAGTTACTATAAACAAAGCAAACTTAAACGTTAAATAGGTCCTCAGACATAAAACCACCAAAAAAAAAACCCCTTAGAGTTTGCACTTCAAATCGGAGCTAGCAGCCGCAACTCACACTGATGGCCTTACATGTAATTTAACACCTATTTGATAGCTTACAGTCACTTGCCATAGTTAATAAGACAAAACGAGGATTAAAGATATTTCACCATGCCACGACCCTCGACGCTCAGCTTTGTAGCCTGTAGCTGCTTCCTCTTTGGTGCTTTCAACTGCTGCAACTTCTTGTTCATCTGCATACATAAAAAGGGGTATTGAACAAGAACCTCATATATTTAATACACAAGTCAAAATCAAGAGTGATTGCTCAGAACACGTGATACAAAATGAACTATTACAGAACCTTGCAAGAAAAAATTGAGGGCAATACCAAAGAGCATACTATTATCTAAGTTCTCCTATTATTAGGAGAAACAGTTACTAATAGTTTGACAGTAACATCAGTTGATTCCTTTTGAGCTGAATTAATGCTTGCACATGCTAATAGGCCATTTCTGAGAAAAGTGAAAAGCAAAGCGGAGATTTTTTTTATTCTTATGATTAACAAAAACAACCTATTTCTCAATTATTAAGGCTGAGGGATGGACTCATAGCACATCGATAAGAAATATGGTCAAAGAAACACAAGCGATGGCTAGCAGGATCATTTTGATAACTAGCGCTACATTCAATCACTAAACTTTTGAAATGATGAAAACTCACGAGGAGAAGTATGTAAAACGTCACAAGTGAGATCACGTGCACATAGATACACGTGTAAACTAAAGGAATCGAGGAGAGAAAGAACAAGTCGTTCGCATTGGCGTATATCTTTGTCCTACAAGGGTCCATGAAAATATCAAAATGCCAACAGTTGCCACCAGCTCTTGGGGGAACTTAATTTATCATATGGGGCTTGTTTTATAGGGGAAAAGATAACCGACCTTAGCTCGACGTGGATCTTGTACCATTTGTTTAGACCGGGCCCGAATTTCATCTGGATCAACCTTAGATTGAGGGCGCACCACAAAATCCATGGACATTGCTTCTGGCCTCGAAGCATGCAGCCTAGAAGATGACTGCCCAGATTTTGAACCCCTTTAATGCAAAGACAGAGTGAACTTTAGATTGTATAGTGCATTACCTATAAACATTAGATATAACTAACCCAAATTTATAGCACTGAAACTAAGAGAATAGAAGTTCTTACTGGGAAAGTTTGGCCAAATCGAGGTCATCATCTTGAGATGACATTCCTGCTGCTTTATTGACCCTGTAAAAGATTCACAAAGCCATTGTGTTAGTGTGCAGATAGATTTTTTTACAAATATTCACCAGTCTTATTAGTGAAGGAACTATACATACCTCTTAGGGGGCGGCCTTCTCAAAGCCCTTTCATCCTCAAAGTTTTTCATGTCCTCAAACCTTGTGCTCTTATTGAAAATTGGCCGGCTCTGAATGAATTAACACTTGGGAAACGAGTTATTACAAATGCATAGACAGATAGACAGACTAATTATTCTCAATTAACATTTTGAATTTCTCAAATTGATCCAGTAAGAAAGGGTTATTGATCATTAACAAAGACTTTCCGTTCATAGACCAACATTTGAATAATATATATGACATTGAGTTCTCTATCATCCTAAAAAGGCTATCAATAATTACAATGATGGACTAATTACAATTCATTCTGCTTTTTATGCAAGAAAATATCAAAATAAAAATCTATCAAAAACTACAACGATGCACTATGACAGAACATTTTGCTTTTTATTCATAAAATATATCAAAGACCGCAATCAATAATACCAAAGAAGGAAACACAGAGAAAATTAAAAGATTACACCAAATGCGTAAGATTTTGGTAAGCTGAAAAAATAAAACAACAAAAATAAGCAATTACCCATTTATCAACCAACTCTTTAGCCAGCTTCCTGTTGGATGTCGTCTCCTCATCAGATTTTGACAGAAACATAATGACCTGCCCAAACTCAACTGTCAGCATTATTCCTATTACCAAATAAAACAGGAAATAACGAAAATAAATGACTGCAGCATCAAGCACACTCTGACCTTCCCAAGTCCACTCTTCTTTAACTGTTCTCTCCGATCGTACTGCTCCAAATCAATTGGAAACTAAAGGGCGAGAAAAAAATATTAGATTCTAATCATTTTTTTAACTTGAAGAAATTATTAGAAGGTATTATATTCTGGGACACCCTATTCCTACATCATTCAGAATCTTCAAAACTGCAGCTCGAATGTTTATATTTGGCAAGCTTCCATCAGGTAGTGGCTCAAGCCAGTTCTTTAAGAGCGTCAAAACTCCATGATCTAGAAATTCATGCTGAAGCTGCTTTCTACATAAAAAGTTGTCATGCAAGGCAATACAAACAATCGGGTATGGAACTGAAAACAAATAAAGAACAAACAACTAACTTTGAGAGGACATCTTCAAGAAGAGAAAGCTTCCTCAATTTATTTATAGCTGGCTTTCCCTGCCGATTCAGCTCGGCGTCTTCTTCCGCCACAACTTCTAATTCAGCCATGACATTTTCAACCAGCAAAGCAACTTCTGCAGCACTTTTTTCATTTTTCTTCTTCTTCTTGCCCATCTTGAAGAGTTCCTTAATTTCGTCATCCTCCTCTCCTTCTTCAGCCTGAGAAATTGCCAGAATTAAACCAAGTGAGTACTCAAATCTCATTAATTTATAAAAATCAAATTGCAACTCTGGAATCCACACAACAGAACCAGAATTCTGGACAACTTAAGTAGGAGAAGATAACTTATAAACACATAATTAATATATTACCTAATAGTGCAAATTGACCTAATAGGTCTATGGACTATGGCGACTCAGATTTCAGTTATAGAACTTCCAAGAAAAAACATTCAATCATTATATTTCCAATAATACAAACCCCATGAAAATTAATATCAATCATGTAAAACCCAACGAATACATGTCATATTCATTCTCAGTGCAAAACCCAAAGAACAATGGATGGAGATAAAATGGTGACGATGACTTAAAAGAATAAATAAGGATACAACCTTCCTCCTCCGTCGTCGACTCATCATCGGAGGATTACAAAACTTAACTTTGCCTGTCATATTGAGGAATAGAGAATAGAGGAAAGAGAGATGTGACTGAAGTGAAAGGTAAAGGGGACATTATGCCACATAGGGAAGGAATGCAATTAAATATTTCTTGGCTAGATTTTCAGTTACAGCGTCTTTTTATAATTAAAAAGGAAAAATTAAAGTACTAAAGCACTAAATAACCTAAATCCAATATGTAAAATCATGAATAATAAATATCATTTAAAAATCTCTAATATCAAATATGTAAAATCATGTAAATCTGAAATAAGCAACAGACAATATTTTTACTCAACGGAAAGAAAAGACGAGGAACTACTGAATTATAAGATAAAGAGTTCATCATATATGATTGGGAGAAATAAACCAACAAAAGTATCCTGTATAAGTATCTCTATACATGTAACATATATTTATATATGTATATCTGGTCTAAAAGAACATATATATTACATCAATGGCAGATATTATGGTCAAGAAAGACATTGCAAGAGGTAATATGTATATCTATATATCTATATATGTATGTTGGAACCCCATAAAACACAAATTCGAAAACACTGTCCAAAAATGAAAAATAGATGTCAATGATCAACTGAATTCTGGACAAGCAATGTAAGTAATTTGGGCAAGCAATGTAAGTAATTTGGGCCCTTATATTGGCCAACACATTTCTCCATTGAAAGTGTTTTGGAAAAACTAAAAAGAAATCACCACCTAAAAAAAATCTTTATGAGTGAGAACTAAATGTGAGAATATGTTACAGATAGACACAGAAGTGTTCTCCATGGGCCTTATATTTCCATCAATTTTGAGGCGTTCAAAAAGAAAGGTGAGTGGACCATCAGTATTGCCTGTGCAATGAGAGTACAGTGATACACACTACCCTTGAGAAAATTTTCTATACTCCAATAATAGATGGAAATCAACACATGAAGAAATTCATACAATTGGACTTCTTTGTGTTCCAAATACTAATTGGACAAATGATATTCTGTGTTTTGGTCTGAGAAAATTACCTAGCTGAAAGTTTTAGCACATAATAAAGCCAGCACAATTTCTCTCTAAATACATTATGAACTGTGAGGATCAATCAGGCAGTGAAAGAAAGAGAAAAATAAAACAAAATAACAAGTTGAGACATAGGTTTAGTCAGAGCATCAAAACAGATATTTTAGTTCCAATCATGTAGATTATAGATAATCAAACTATATCTTGAAGCTCTACAAACTCATATTAGAAAGAGTGAACAATACACATGCTTGCCTGAATGACTGAAATAGCCATAGTCACAGTGTCATCAGCAAACTTCTGAATAATATTTAACGCGGATCCTGTTATTATTATGACAGGTGCTGAATCTAACAAAGCATCAGTCTTTTAATGCAGTCATATCAACCCAATAAAACTTTGCTGTGAGGGTGAAGAAAGATGAGCTACTGCTTATATCGAAGATTATGGAAAGTTTAAAGCATTAGTATTTAGTATAACCAAAAAATCTTGTTCATTAAAATATCATATAAATCTATTAACCAATCCATAATAAGATAAAATCCAAACCTGGGGGGCGCGACTTGGGGAATGTTCATTGTCACTTCCATAATGGTGAGCAGGGTCCACACCACTGTCATCTATGAAGTTATCATCATCCAGAGTCCTAACACCGTCTTGGTCATCCTATAAATTG